CAGTTGTTCTTTCGAAACAAGGTGACGTGTGATAGCAGCCTTAGAATCTTGATATATTTGGCTATACCTTTTTAGTTTAGTTCTTAGTTTCGTAAGCCCAGGTGGAGGCTTTATTATAACTCCAAGAAAGAAGTTGTCTGTTAAAATTTTATCGGAATAATTAAGGGTAATTTCACTCTTTTTACGTTTTGTTCTCTGTCACACGAACTCAAGTGATTATTCGCTTACCAGTTCTTAAGATTATTCAACTTTAACTGTAACTTGAAAGTACACAGGTTAGAATCTTACAAAGTTAAGTAAAATAAGCAGACATAAAAAAAAGTATCTCTCTTAAACAGGCCCAAATTTCACACTAAATTTTAGAATTAAAGTATTATAACTTAAATTTTGATAATTAAAATTTTTCATCTAATATTTTTTTATGTGTGCACATTTAATGTAGACAATAAGTTGTGCAAATGGGAAAAATATATTTTTTTAATATTTCTGTTGACACATGGAAAAATAATCATTGTAAAATGTAGTGGTGATACTAAAATTTTTCAATTTTTGTTTAGATGATACGTGCTAGTCAAAAGGTTGAGAACCGCTGTCGTATACAATAATTGTAATAACAATAATTGTATAGCATATGTATTCTTACATCTGTGCATAGAATGGCTGAGAAGCACTCTATGCAGGCAGGTGTATGAACTTACAGTAACAAGACATTCACAAATTAAATACTAAAATGAAAAACTATACATAGTATATATTTAAAAGTTGAAAAGTCTCAGGAGGTAAAAAGGTTATTTTTTAAATTTATTATTTTTACTTTTTTTAGAAGTGTTCTCATGCATCATATATTTTTCTTCAAGTTCTGTATCAATGTTGAAAATTTGATTTGCCATGTTCACCTAAAGTTTTATTATAATGTTGTTAAAGAGAATGTCTAAACTTTTGTTTGATATTTTTTCAGTTATATGATTTCAATGTGTTTTTTTAACTAATTATACTTTTACATATTTTAATACCATATGTTAAATATATTTGCTGTTGTTTTTATGTTACCCAGGATTATCTGATGATGAAGCTGCAGTATTTTTATCTCATAAGAAGGAAAGAACATCTGTATACTCCGGGAAAAAGAGTTTATCTGGTAATAAAATTTTTTTTCAAATGTTAATAGTGTAATGTAAATTTTCATCTAAAAATCAATAAACAGCTTTAAAGCATTACTGATATCATAAATATGTTTATTAAAAGCTATTTTCAAAGGAATACATTTTGTTCATTTTACAATTTTCTTTTGACTATGAAACAAAATTCAAGGGAGCAAATTTAATGATTTTATTCCGAAATGGGAAAAGTTGGACTTTTATTTGATGACAAAATTTTGCCCTTTATACCTATCTCAGTTGGAGATTTTAATTTGCAGAAAGTTAGTTTTGGAAGATAATTCTAAATAACTTATTTCTCAATGTAAAAGAAAATTTAGTGCGTATCCTGATACTTTTTATTTCCTTAACATGTTAGCAACATTTGGATTCATATCTACATTATCATTCTTTTTTATTTATTAAAATGATAAATATGTTTATGGGAGAGTTTTTATTCTTATAAAATTTTGCAGTAAAACAATGTTAAGTAAACATTTTTAATTTTCAAAATAATATCTTCTCAAACCACTTTAGAAACTGGTTTTCTTTGGATACTGTTATGCTTTCATTTTACATGTATTTTTGTTAATTACTCTGCAGTTTTAAAAAACTGAATTAATTTAATTTCATTAAACTGAAATATAAGCACTTAGAATACTCAAAAAATTCAGAAGATAGTGATTATCTTACGTGAAATTTGAATCTTGGCTTGCAGAATGTACTGCAAATGTTGGTGTAAAATTGGTTAATGTAGTTTGGCCGCAAAATATTCTGAATAAGAAAATCACTTGATTACTTAAAAGCATAAAAAGTGTTTCTAACATTTAAAAACATGAAAATACTTCATAAACAAGCTTCAGTATGGGCAAGTTTTAATCTTTTTATTTTTTTTTTGTTATACTGACACCTTGCAAGTGATGTATCAAGATATTACAAGTTCGTAGATCTGCTTATTCTGAAAGTTTAAAATTACACTTTACAAAATATATTAAAATACTCTGCCTTCTTATTTTGAACATAATTTTATAAATCTCAATAATGAGTCTTATAGGTTAATTATTGAAAAAAAATAATGTTTGAATGCTTAAGTTATTCGCAGATTATGCATAAGGTACTAATTATCCTCATTATTAGAAATATATAATTGGTTTTTTTTTTTTTTTTTTTTTTTTTTGCTCTAAAGGGATAAATTAAAAGTTTGGCTTTGCCATCCTGTGAAGCAGTACATTTGTCTGTTCAATGTCCCACTGAACCATAAATTATGGTAAATAGTATGTAGTCTAAAAGAAAGTTGTGTAATTTATAGTATAATTGTATACCTTATGAAAATAATATATACACTTTTGATATAAAAAAGAAAAATATTAAACATGCGTTTTTATAATAGCATCTAAAAATTCAATGTATTTTAGTTATACAAAATGTACTCATGAGTGATTTGACATTCTTTTGCAGCTGTATTAAGCCTGAAAGAATACTGCATTCATGTGTTAAAGAAAAACATAGATAGTAAGTCCTCTTTACAGTTTATTTAGTAGTTGCTGAAAAAAAAAAAAAAAAATTCAAAACTTCTGTATAAATCAGAAATCTTAACTATTGCAAAATGCTGGGTATATTTACTCATGTTAATTTTTAACAGTATTTAATTGCATTTTTATATTGTAAATTTGTATTTAATTCTTAAATTAGTGCAGGTTTTTTTTTATAACTTTATATTATAGTTTTTTAATACTTAATTGTATTGTTCTTTTATGTTAAAGTTTTGCATAAAATGTATTAACTAAACATAGCAGTAATATGTACTAAAAGAAAAATAATTTTTTTTATAAAACTTATTATTTTGTATCTTAAATATTTAATATTATATTTTAAAATGTAAAAGCATTTCTCTATTTATAAAAGAAGGGAAAGGAAAATGTGTCCTTTCTCTCTCTTTATATCTTATTTTATTATTAATCAAAATGCATTGCTGGCCCTAAAATTTTCTGTTGAAAGGGAAGAATGCATAAACACATACTGCTAAATGGCAAAATTATATTTGCTACTCATTATTATGCAGAATTTAATGCTGAAAAATTTTGCCATATGGAAACTGTGGCTTATTTCCAGGAAACTGACATTTATGCTAGATAGAATGCAGGTGTAGTGATGTAAATATGGAGTAGCTTGAAAAAAGAATACTTACCGACACATAGATTCACAATGGCTTCATCAATTAACTACACGAGAAAACAGATCTTGTGCAGGTCACTTTTAAGGATCCTGTAATAATATTATACTCCCTAACTAAATAATTAAACTGTGTTATATAGGAATCAATCTGTGCATATGCAATTGATGTTTGTAGTATTGGATAATTTCTACAAGGCATGTACTATATCAGCTGCCTTTAATTGCACTCCTCAGGCATCTGTAGTTGTACTAGTGCAGGGATAGACAGACCTTTTTCAATCACAGGCCAAAAATTTAAAAAAAAAAGGGGGGGGCAGTCCAAGATAACTTTTCTAAAATTTAAAAAACATACACAAGTATTACAATTTAAATATTTTAATGAGATGAATGAAATTACAGTTTCATTTTTAAAAGTTCCTTATATTGAGGTTAAAAGTGAGCGGTACTGATTCTAAGGAACGAGGATTCTAAGGATTTTACTTCTGTAAACAAGATGATCTATAAGCCACACCCACTAAATGATTATGCTAAATGCCACACACAGTAATCTAAATGCTAAATTTTTAAAGTTTGATGTTAATTTAACAGATTTAGATTATTTAAAATTTCAGAAGTTATTGCTGCATTTGATGTGTATATGTCATCTCTCTCTCTTTTTTTTGTAATTTTTAGGTATTAAATATCTAAGGAAAGTGCCTTATAATGTAATTCAACCAGTGCTTGAATGCTGTACTCCTAGTCAACTTGTAAATCTAGAAAATCACAATAAGGTTTGTTTTAAAAAATTTTTATGGTTGCAGTTTCTTGTTGCAATTACTTTTTCATTATTTAACCCACTTTTTTACAACTGCCTTAAACTAATAAGAAAGTTAATTTACTCAAGTGGTTTATATATATATATATATATATATATATATTATATCTTAGTTAAAAATATGAAGAAAACATTCTGCATTTGAAATGTAAAAATTATTGTTTATTAAATTATTAGTCACATTTAATGTAATAAACCATCAGAGCAAATTCACTTGCTGCAGCCTCTCCTGCCATTCTTTGATACATCCAAAGAATATATCTTATCGTACTTGTAACAGAATAGCTCCAATGCAATACACTAGATAGCTTGAAATGTTTGAAAACATCAACCGATGTGAACCATCTTGGTCAAAGAAAACAACTGGAAATCAGAAAATGAGAAATTTGGCAAATTATGTGGTTTTAAGTACAGGGATTTCTCTCTATGATAAAATTTTTTTAGATGACATGACTGTCAGCATTCTGACTACCTAGATGTGTGCTTAGTATGATGCAGTGACAGAGATTGGAGTGTTGGCACAGATTTGTGAGCAATAATGAAGTTAAACAAGAAAAGAATCAACATTACCTTGACTTTTAGTCTGCTAGCTTTAGCTTTTTTTTCCAACTTCAGAGCTGTTGGTGCTGTTTTTGTGTACTATTTGATGTCAAACCCATTTTTAGGTGCTTGTCTTAAACAAAGTCAAAACCCCAAGTTTTTTTGATCAAAATATGGCATCACATCAAATGGTAAAAAAAATCTGTTTGCATTGCAAAGTAATGTATGCTGGAAAAACCTATCCTGGATTATGTCATTTCATGCATTTCTCTTATAAAGTTAACTGCCAGTGACACCAAAATTCAAGTATTGCAAATTTCATGCACTGACTCTGCTTAAACTTTTTTAACACGAGAATATAATTATTAGTAAGCGTTGGGGGACTTTATTAAATTTGCCCCTAATTTATGTCCCTTTCTCTGTCTGTTTATTCCAAGGAAAACCCAAGCCGTGCATATCATGATCATTCTTTGACTTAGTCTTTCTGTTTCTGAGAGTTATAGTTTTGTATAATTTTAGTATTAAGATGAATGAAGCATTATAGATGAATGAACTTTCTGTATGGTCAGCAGAATTTCCACAAGAATGTCTTTTTTGATGATACAACATATTTTATATTTAATAATAGTCTCCTCAAATGGAAAACCTTTAAGGGAATTTAATCTTAAACCATAAGTTGAAAATATTTTCTTAAAAACTGCTCAGTGTTAGAAGAAAATAATGTGTGGCAGCTTCTGGCAGAAATTGTGCAATATAATTAAATTTACTCATTATTTTATGTAATTTCTGTCATGTTCTGTAATTTTTTAAATGTTTTCTTTTTTATGCACAATTATTTGTGTTTTTAATTTGTTAACTGGGGAATAAGCTTTCAGTAAAATCGTTTCACAATGGGGACTTTTTCCTTTGCAGTAATTTCAGCACATCGCAAGGAATAAATAAAAGAAAATCGTTTACAAATATTTAATGATATTAAATATTAAAATTAAACATTTTTAATCCATAAAAACAAATTAATTGAATGAATTTAAACAATTATTTCGTATGATATTCCCTAAAGGAATGCGGCATACACAAAGCAACACTGCAGTCGGGACACCAAAATCTCGATTATTCCCTAAGACCTTTGGAATAGCACAATGTGCGTTTCCTCGTTACATTAACTCTTGAAGAGTCGGATGGTATATAGTCTGCAAAATGTCTTTCAAAAGAGTCGAGATGGTTTTGGTGTCAAAGATGATCGTCCTGTACTAGTAGATGGCAACTGCAATCCGTCTCTATATTTTTCAACACCTTTTTCTACAGTTTCGATAAGGAAATGAAGCCTATCTAGGTGATCCATCTTACTTGTATAAAAGATATGCATTCAAACACACCATGTCTAGTGCATGTAAAAACTATCTTATAGTAATACTTTTTTACTTGGTTTCTAGCGATTTCATAAGTTTTCATTTGTCCATCAGCAAGATCAATCCTCCCATATTTGTTGTAGTCAGCGATAACTTCCGGTTTTGATATCGGTTTCCTTCGTTTTTCTATTTCTACAAACTTATTGTCGTGGATAGTACTCAATATAATTAAATCCTTTTTGTCTTTCCACTTCATAATCATTATTTTGTCTCTGTACCTAGCAATGTATTAATCTTTTTTCAAAACACAATTTTTTATTTCAGATGGTATTCCCTTTCTATTTTTTCGCACTGTTCCTACAACATCGGTTTTTCTTCTGCACATCTTCTCAGCTAGATCAGTACCAGTATACCAATTATCGAGATATAGCGTATATCCCTTATCCAACAAATCGTGTCACAGTTCAAGAACAATACGATTTGGTCCCTGTTCTTCGGAGAGTTCGAAACCCTATGCTGTCTTTACTTGTAATATAATGAAATCACTTATGTCCAGAGTACCTTATATTATACAATTTAACACCGTCGACTCTTTTCGATGGAATGTACTGTTTCCAAGACAGTCTTCCTTTCCATAGCAAAAGCGACTCATCTACATCTACATCATTTCCTTAACTGGTACGTATAACACCTTGAATTTGTTTCTCAAATAATTCAAAATGGAATCGATTTTGTAGGTTTTTTGTTGCACACTTTTAGATCAAAAGCATTGTTATCACTAAAATGTAAATATTTTACTAACAGTTGGAATCTATTTTCTGACATAGTTTTATAAAAAAAGGAGTCTCCAGACTTTCTTGCTTTGTAAAATAAAGCTGATAAGAAGGTTTTCCTATATTCCTTTACAAAATTAGTAAAAAATAAATACTCTCACTCTCGGTCTGTGTCAGGACATCTTGAACTTTGGTTTCATGGAAGTATTTTTTCAAAAAAACTGTCCGCGATTTGTGATGTTCCACTAAGTCTACAAAATCCATCATAAATTTCTCGAAATAAAAATGGCAATCCTTTCTCAGGTCCTTCAAATGTAAGTAGATTGAGATAAAAACGGGAAAAGGCGATCGCAATATTCTTTCACATTTCCATTCAGCTGATGTGGTTAAGTATTTTGGTCTATAACATCATCATCCTTTGATTCAATGCGGAATCAGAAAGAAGTCGTTTATCTTTTTTCCGAACTGTACTTATTCTTAGAATTGACGCGTTTACCAAACCTCCCGGGCAATATTTCATCGTCACTCTCAAACAATTCAAAAATATTTTCTCACAAATTTTTAGCCATATTTATAAAAAACTAACAATTAATCAAATCAACAAGTTCTTACTATATGTAAAATACTGAAATGCAGACTAAAATGAAATTAAGTTGTGAAAATTAGGAGAGTTATCACAGTTTATGAGCGGACAAATTACATCATGCCCATTGAAATAGTCTTCCCAGCATGACGAAAAATTTCGTCATACCCAGTTAACAGATTAATTAGAATTTAATATGTGTTTATATAAAATAAATGTGAGCTCTGTTAAAATAGTCATAATTTAAGTGCCCCCTTTTTTTATTGAGCCAAACTGAAATTTAAATTTGAGTGAGGATTTATCTTACCACTATCTTTATATAAAAATATAATCATAGAAAGAATTGTGGTTATTTGTATAAAAGAAGTTTTTAAAATTTTGTTGTATATTTTCAATATCTGAAAGTTGATTTTATTATTTTCATTGCATGAAAGAATGTAAAAATCACTCCTACTACCCTTCCATGCATTGTAATATCTTTTTCAACAGAGTTCATAACATGTTTAACTAAATAATTATGATTATTTAAAATTTATATTAATTTTTCATCGTACATTTCACACTCCAAAGATAATATTATTTATGGCTGTTTATGGTTATATATTTAAGATCAAATCTAATAAATTAGATTGCCCTTTATTTATCTTAAGAGATAAAGTAGTAATATATAGTATTAATAATATATAGTTTGGTATTTGGGAAGTAAAATAGTTGCTTGATGTAATTTTTTAATAAATTTTATCCAGTACCTTATGGATCATACAAACGAGCTTTGGAAAAAATTTTGTCAGAAGTGTTATAAAGATGAAGTACCACAAAAGCATGAAACCTGGAGGAGTGTATATTTGGTGAGTTTCTTTCAGTTTAACATGCGTATCTATATATGTAATATCATCTGTAGTTATCTTAAGGATTGGGCAGTAGTTGCAACAGTTGTGCAAAGTTTTTCTGCATAGATACAAAGATGATATTTTTAGACAGATGTGTCTAAAAAGAAGACATAATTTTATTTCCTGATAAAGCAAGCTTTAAGAAGTATAATCAGGTTTCCATATTATCATGGAGCAGCATATGTGCCCAATATTCATTTTGCCCAATCAATATATCCATTCATTCTTCATAGCATTCTTTGAAATGTAAATCGTAGACAATGCATGAAGCAGAGAGCCATATGTCTTAGCAAGAGCAAAGGTAAAGTGATAGAGAAAGGATTTTATTATCTTACGTTTTTCCTGAAGATGACAGGAAAAACATAAGATAATCAAAAGGTATCTTGATCTATGATTGGCTAAGAGCTGTCTGCATTTGCAGGATTATATAAGAAAGTATGAAACAGATTAATTTAAAAAAGACACAGTTCAGAAAGAGTTATTATAAACAGTTTCTACTTTTAGAATAGAAAGGACAGGTACACGAATTAAAATAAAGAATTATGGGTCTGTTGCTAATTATAATTTTGAATACATATTTTTTATCGTACACACACACAAAACACACAACACACATAATATATATATATATATATACGAGGGCCATCCAGGAAGGTAGATTACGTTTCCGTCTGTGTCCGCTAGGGGCGGGGCTAGCGCGGCCACTTGGGGTCAGAGCGTGCGCAGCTCAGTCTGCATCTAGCCGTGCTAGTGAGAGGTTCGTGCTGTGCTCCGTCAGATACTGTGACGGTTTGAAATGTCTGCGTTAATTGAAAATCCTGCGAGGTGCGTCAGTAATAAGGTTTCTGACTGCAAAAACTGTAAACCGATAGAAATCTATCGGCCAGCTTCGTGAAGTGTATGGGGAAACTTATCACTGAAGGTGGAGTGCGTCAGTGGGTCATAAGATTTCAAAATGGCCGAACCAATGTTCACGACGAAGATCGAAGTGGGAGACCCAGCATAGTGACCGCCGAACTTCTCGAAAAAAGTCGATGCTAAAGTCCGTGAAAATCGAAATTTCACAATAACGGAACTTTTCTTTGAGTTTTCCACAAAATTTCGCGAAGTTTGTTGCACGAAATCATCAGCGAAAAGCTTGGTTACCACAAGTTTTGTGCAAGATGGATTCCAAAATCTTGACAGAGGACCACAAAAATCAGCGAATGGCTGCCAGCGTTGAAACTTTTTGGACGCTTACCATAGGATGGTGACTCTTACTCGATCGCATCGTTACTGGTGACGAAACATGGGTGAAACATGTGAACTGTGAAACGAAATTGCAATCAATGCAGTGGGGGCACACAAGTTCTCCCAAAAACCAAGAAATGCATGCAAACAATGTCGGCAAGGAAGATGATGGCGACTGTTTTTTGGGACAGAAAGGTGTAATTTGGTGGACTTCCTGGAAAGAGGCACTACATAAACTCTCAAAGGTATTGCCAAACTCTCCAAAAAAAAAAGAAGAGCCAATTCAAAACAAGCGCAGAGGAATGTTGAGCTCTAAGATCTTGTTGATTCACGACAACGGCCCGGCCCCACACGGCAAATGTCACTGTAAAGTTCTTGAACTTTTAAGTGGGAGTTGTTCCTCATCCGCCGTACAGTCCCGACCTGGCACGAGCGACTTCCACCTATTCCAAGCAATGAAGAAAGTGGCTGGCTATGCAGCGTTTTGATGACGACGCACAGCTGCAAGAAGAGGTAACGAAGTGGTTGAAGGCGCAGGCGGCCGAATTTTTCGACGAAGGAATTTCCAAGCTCGTACATCGCTACAATAAATGCGTTAATTTGTATGGTGACTATGTAGAAAAGTAGTATTTGAGTGTGGCTTTCATCTGTATATAATAAAATTTGTTTCATATACTTTGTTTATTTTTTTATTCCAAAACGTAATCTACTTTCTGGATAGCCCTCGTATATATACATACATACACTATATATATGTATGCATATGTATATTTTAAATTGTGGAGATGATTAATAGAAGCAGCAGCTTAACAAATAACATGTAACTTATTTTATCTGGTTTTGTTATTTTAAGAGGAGAGAAAAATGTTTATTAAAACTGGGGAGTTTTTATGCATAATTCGTTTTTCCTTGGGGAAATATAAAATAAATTAAACTGAATTAAAATGTAGATTGAAGCATTTAAACATTTAATTTGTATCAAAGAAAATAATGTGAATTCAGTAATCTTTAGTCTTTTTCATAAAAACATATTTTATAGTTTGTCTGTATTAGTTCTTTTAATACAAAAATAGAAGTAATTAATAATTAATTGAATTTGTATAAAATTGTAGATTAAGTAATAAATACTAATTGTTATCTGAATTGCTCACTTCACTATATATATAAATATCAAGAATTTAAAATTTAATGTTTTCATAGGATATTTAGTGCTGAACGTTTTGACGGCTCCTGTGTTTTTCATTTCATAAAAAGTTACTCTAAGTAATGTTTTAAATGCTTCTTTAAATTCCTTTAAAAAAATAATGCTAGATGTTTTATTTTAAATGTTGAAACATGCAGTGTTTTATGTTAAAAATATTCAAAGCTAAATTCTTTAAAAAATGCTTCTCAATTTTTGTCATCTCAGAATTTTCTGCATTTATAATATTTATACAAAAGAGTTCATTTTTATTAGGCAATAAAAATGCTAGTTTAGAAAGGTAAGAAGCAGTATACAATGCATGTTCAGTTTCTGAGACATAGCTCTACTTGCTTATGAAGTCTCAGTTTTCTAATGTTTCAATAAAAAGTTAATTTTTTATTCTGTGCTATGCAGAACCAATGAATTTGCAGGTTCAGCATGACGGATGGGCATTTTATAGATTGCATTGATGTGATTTTAACAATTAAAAAATTAATGAATCTAAAAAAAAGATATGCTTTTGTTATTGGAATTATATTTTATGTTATGTGTATATTAATGTTAATGTTTTACAGAGAGCAAACAAGGGGAAAGAAAAAAAGTTAAAAGGAATAATTGCGTCTATAGCTGCATCTAAAGCTAAGAGTCAACCAGGTTTGTAGTTTCCATCTTAAATGAATTTGTTAGATGATAAAAATGAGTACTTATACTATTAAATATAGAACTTTTGTTTAAAATGCTGTGGTGTAGATTCAGCATAGTTAGTTATTTGGATGTTGCTTTTCTATAGGCCAAATATATGCTGTATCACAAAAAAATATATGCACCCTGAAAGAAACAAACTACAATTATGAAACTTAACATGTATGTAGTGTATGAGGAGATAAACAAATGATTACAAATTCAGAACAAAAGATCATTTTATTAAGAATTATGGCATGAAAACAGTTACAAATCAGTAAGCAGTATAGCCACCTCTGGCAACTGTACAAGCCGAAACATGGCGGGGCATTGAAAGGCTACCTATGACCCTCTGCGGAAGATCATGCCATAATCTTTGCAGGTCTGCAGTTAATTCACCAATATTCTGGTGTGGCTGCAGTTGCCATCTAAGCATGTCCCAAAAATGCTCTATTGGCAAGATGTTTGGTGATTGGGCAGGCCACGGGAGTACATCATATTCTTGAAGATATTGTTGGGAGAATCGCACAGTATGTGGCCGAGCGTTGTCTTGCTGATAAATAGCACCTGGGCGACTGGATAGCATAGGCAGTACAACCGGCATTAAAATGTCCAGCTAACTGCAAGACATCATAATGCCTTGAAGGACGACTAGAGGTGATCATGTGTCCCAACAAATCGCTTCCCACTCTGTCACACCTTATGTAATTGTAATACTGCTTGACAACAAATGCCAGACCCGACCGCTGGCCTAGCCACTTCCACACGCATGTGCATTGGTCATCAGCATTGAGACTGAATTGGGATTCATCGCTGAAGATCCCACACCTCCAGTCAGTGACACTTCAGCTTGCTTGAGTTTGCCAAAAATCCTGTCGACACTGTCTATGATGTGGTCGTAGTTATTGATTAGGTCAATGATTAGAGTGCTTTGTGCTCAATAGAATAGAGAATGCAGTAGAATGCTTCATGCTCAGTAGAATAGAGAATGCAATTGAGAACTTTGTTTTCAGAACAATCTCGTTATAAAATTCCAAAATTTCATCTTATGAAGAAGAAAATTTCTGTTTGCATGTCTTAACAATAAATTTTGTTATTGAATTTTAAAATTATATTCAGAGTTAAAATTTTCATGAACCTTTTAAAATACGTAACCATTAAAGAAATATCTAGAGTTACAGAAGTATTTAGGAGCTTCTGTGTGTTAAATTAACAAAAAATGTTTTTAATCATCTAAATAAATTAACAACACATTTAATTTTACTCGGGCTGAAAGGCAGGTAATTGGGCTTCATGTATCTGAGATCTGGATAACATTAAATTTTACTGAATGAGAAATATATTTTAATATTTTAAATTAGTAAGATATGAAATATTAAGATATTGAACTCAAAACATAGTAATTATTAAATAGTAGAAAGTTACATGCTCTTAAAAATGTATTGTTTAGTAAACCTAAATTTGAATTTATCTTATAAGCTTTTCAAATTTAGTTTTAGGAAGTTTATATGAACCATATCACAATTTGTATATTAGTTTGCTGTATTAGAGATGGTTTAAATAATACTTGACTACACAATTACAAAACTTTAGCATCATTGTTCCAAAAAAAGTCATAGCATTTCATTCAAGAAATTTCAAGATCTTAATAGGAAGATAGTATGTTTTATGTTGGTATAATTTTCTGCATGATGATGATTACATTATATATTATGGTATAGTTTAAAGTATTGTTAATTTATATGCACTAATTTAAAAGCTATAAACAAATGTGTTTTGTTATTTAATGTGACTTTTCAAATTTCAGAGCGCCAGCTGAAACTTGCTGATGCTCCTGTAAAGTATTCACAGGGCAGTAGTAAAATAACGAAAAATACTGTGAATGCTGGTAGTCCATTATTTGCTTCATCTAAAGTCGACTCACCGTTAAGTGCATCCAAAATCAGCCCATCGACAAGTACAGCCAAAGTTACCTCTGAGTCCCACATAAAATATTCTCATAGCAATAATAAACTCACAAAAGGTGTTGTAAATAGTAGTAGTAGTCCATCAGTCAGTTCATCCAAGGTAAGCCCACCAGTTGCTGCTCCATCAGTCAATGTTTCTAAGACCAGTCCACCACTGAGTTCAGCTAAAGTTTCCAAGCCACAAAAGAAACATAAGAAAGGTAAACATATTATTGTAAATGTATTTCAAATATTTTTTATAGATTTGTTTATGTAGTCAAACCCTGCAGTTATGAACTTCAAGGAACTTGATTTTTATTTGCTATATCTAATTCAATTAGAAAAATAGATAATTTCACAATAAAGTGTAAAATTTGACTAAATTACTAAAAAAGGGGGGGGGGAGAAAAAAAGAAAAAAGTCACATCTGATTTAAGAAGTGAATAATAACTAATTTTTAAATAGAGATTTTAAAATAATTTTTAAATTGCATTAAACGTTAATTACAGTTATTTTATATTCAATTATTAAGTTTGTTTTTCATTCTTATTCAGTTTCACTTGGCATAAATAATTTTACAAATTAAGTATTTAGCATAAACATCATAATTTAAATCCATCTCTTGAAATACACATCTGCCTCTAGAGTACACTTTTATAAAAAATTTCATGGCATACATATGATTTCCTAAGTTATGCTTATTATATGTTCTGTTTTCCAAGAATTGGGTGTTATAGGCTTCTCTTATAGCCTTTGTTTAAAACAGAGAATGACACAAGTAAAGATAGAGAACAGTAACATGAAGGTGTTTTTCATTATCCTAATAGCATAAACATGGATGATTTTAATGGTTAGTAATCCTTTGGTTAAAACTTGCAAAAACTATGAAAAAAAAATATGTCACTAGAATTTATATGTTCACTGTAGCTGTATAAAATAACATAAGTGCATAAGATATTTCATGGAACCTAAATGTTTGCTTATTATAAATTGAATTTGCTGTAGTCAGGTTTGACTGTGTATAAGTTTTTACCTCTTTTATGATACTGTACGTTACCTCCTATTTTATTATTGTATATTTCTTGTGCATTTTATTCAATTTTAAACATGCATTCTAATTACGATTTATACTTAATTAGTTTATTATGGTGTAGTGTATGCAGTTCTTTAAAGAAATGTTGCGATTTTGTAAATAATGCAAGTAGAACCATAAGTATTAACTGTTGGGGTCTACCAGATCTTAATAACAAATTTTGTAGCTGAGATCGGAGCATTTTGATGTTATTCATCAAATTTGGAGATTGGACTAAAATATTTTGTTGTAACAAGATATATCAGATTTCATTTCAAATCCTAGATCATGATACATATAGTTTACTTGTAAGGAGCTAGATACATTTTCATGGAGATATTTTAAGGGAAATTAGTTAACTCAATGAGAAAATCAAGAGAAAGCTTTGCATCCACTTTGTTCCATTGCTGGGAATGAAATCTAGAAAGAATTATATATGATTCTAATTTTCAACCAATGATCAGAGAATATATCAGAAATAAATTTTTATGAGCACTTAGAAAAAAAAATTTCTAAAGCATACCTGTTATTTTTCCTTTTTTTTAAATCCTCCCCAAAAATGATATTTAATATTTTAAGATTTATTGTGAGGTTTAGATTTACTTTTACTTAGTGAGTGAATTTAAAATTTTATTTTGTCTTTTAAACTTTGATGGCATAAACATTTTGAGTGTCGGTATTTTCGAGATTGAATTTGTTATAAATTTTCCTTCAAGGATGATTAGAATAATAACTCCATTTACAGTGCTATGTTTTGCTTTTTTCTTCACTTGTATTAATTTTTTATATCTTGGAACTCCAGAAGATATTTATCTTTCTCCTGATTATTCAAGAGCAGTTACAGTTTTTAGTGTGAAAACTCCTTTCAATTATTTGTGTATAGGTTTTGTGTTTCTACAAAATCTTGTGCATGATTTAGTCAAAGAGTTACTGTGTGAAAAATGTCTGCAGGTGTTCCCTTATTTTGCATAACAAATTAATTTTGATACCTTCCCTGAACTCCTCAACTTCCCCTCCTCACCAGGATGTAAATTTAAAGTTAAGTGAAGTGAGTATTTAAACTCTCCCTTCAGTTTATTCAGAGCGTGTTTTTGCTACCCAGCGCACGTTTGTTGCTGTCTCACTGTTACGCTAGTATGCCCTTTGGCCCTTTCAGATAAATTTTCACACCTGTTAGATTTTGTTGAGTCAACCTAAGCTAGCCATACTTTAGCTTGCTAATTCAGCACTAGACTTTGAATTGATTTATATATAAGTTTCACTGCAAGTTGACGATGTTATTGTAAAGCATGAAGATCGTGCCTTTCTGTTATTAGTTAGAATTAATAAAGGGTTATTTTTACCCTTCTTCTATGTTGGTATTTCATTCACACTTGTGCAAGAATTTGCCAGGTTCATTGTAGGATTAGTTTATATTGAATACAAGAGACAGATCTTACAAGTCTATTAAAAGTCAATATATTTTTTGTAAATTCATAAAACACTGAACCAGTTGTCATAAGAGGATGCAGTATGTATCAGAATTCATATAGTAAATTTAAGAAAAATTTTTTTTTGTAGGGGGTGCAGTATTTTAAAATGAGATTAGTTTTTTTTTAAAAAAAGCTTTTTATCCCTAAAATTTTATTTTTTTTATATTGCTTAGTGTTCACAGACTAAGATGATTTAAGTTGATATGATTAATTGTGGTAAAACATGATTGGGAATCTGCTGATTGGAATCATATCGACTTAATTAATAAGTGAAAATTATCCTCCTTTCCATCTTTTGCTCACAAATCATTATGCAAATATCCATTTACAATTATTACAGCCTGAAAAACGCATGTCTGCGATGCCATCTTTATACGATGATTTGTAGGTACTTTATTTTTTACTATGTTATTTTTTATGACGATGTTTTTAAGCTGCAAAGTTTTTTAACCATTTCATTTTCAATGACGATATTTTGTACCATGATGTTTTCTCTTTGCTCTATTTTCTCCCATGATGTTTTGTATTGCGACGTTTATGCCTTTTGTTGTTTTCTGTGCGCCGTTTTCGGCTATAACCCCATTGTTATCTTGTGAATTGTGGCAACATATGACACAGAATTATTAATCACTGAAGTAGTCAGGATGTTACAAAAGAAAACACAAGTCATTACCACATTAGATCCTTCATGACTGTATAAGCTGCAACCAAGTAATATTAAGTGGAGGAATTTCACCATATGGGCATTTAAAAAACTTGTTATGATCCATAGTAGTCCACACAGAGGAGCCATTAAAGTTGTCATAAATCACTGTGTGTGATGAGGTTTCTTAAAATCCATCATCATGAGCCCTTTCTCCCCCCCCCTTTTTTCTTTTTTCTTTTTTTTTTTCTTTTTTTTGAAGAGGTATATGCAAATAGTTTAAAAATGTGCTTTATAACAAGACAGCATAACTTAAAAATGTCATGTTGAAACATGATACTGGATGAGATATTGAAATTTCATAATGATCATCACTGTTACACCACTTACTGCCCTTCATTCTCAGCAGTAGTGACACCCATTAATTTTCAGTTATGGAGCTATTTCAAGTATTAGGTAGTAGCCAGTCATCCCTGACGTAAGTAAAGATGATGCCTGCTGCAGAGTTGCTTCGTTAAGCTCATATAATGCTCAGTGCGTCACTGAATAATATGACCACATCCTTACAGGGTATAATTTCTTGTGGTGGAAGACATATTTCTCACTTAGTAATGTGGAACACTGTGCAGTGAAGCATTTAATATATTTATATTCTTCAGGTAGGATAATTAGATTTTCTATTCCTAATGTACTCAAACTGCTATAAAGTATAGGATAATAGTAAAATACCATCTAAGAAATTTTGACCTGGTATTCACCCCCTTCCATCCCCCCCCAAAATTCTAATATTGCTGGCATAAATTTTGGTGTAAGTTGCATCCTCATACAGCAACTCTTTCTTCTTCTTTTACTCCCTTTTTTTAAAGTTTAGTGAATTTAGGTCCATCTTGTTTATTATTAACAGAATGTGATTAAATAGGGTAATTTTTTAAAAGTTTTAAAATAGTATTTCTGAACAATTCTGACATGAAACTTGCATTTCCAATTAGTTAAGCATTTTATGAGTTTTGTAAAAAAAGAATTGTTCTTAATTGTTTCTTAAAAATGTTTAAAATCTCTTATATTCAGATGTTTCTCTCATTTATAATAAATACTTAATTGAATATTACTGTTTTATGCCGCATTTATGACATTCAGAATAATATATAGCACGTAACTTCTATAAAAGTAAATTTTTGGAATATATTTGATAATTTCAAATGTGTATGGAAATGATAAAAAAATTTTAATCCATTCTAATATCTTTTATTTGTTCATTAAATTTTTTATAGGCAAGGGCATCACAAAACATAATGCATCAGTGCTTGAAGAGAGTAATTTATAGTTATTAAAATAAATTAGTGAATAGATAGTTTTCAGAATACTAGTTTAGTCTTGCATCTAAAATTTTGTATGTTATTTGTTATGTTTTTTCACATTTTGAATTGCATTTTTTCTAACTTTTAAAAATATTTTAATGGAAGTTAGATATTAAAATTATTGTCCATAATCCGTTTCATTTCTAGTATTTTAGCATGAGATCTAAATTAACCAAGCATTGATAACGTCTTACATTATTAATTTTCTGTCTAGATATGCATTAAACTTTCCTCATCAGATAAAAGAAGTAAAAACTAGAATTTTTTTTTTTTCCTATAGACTATAAATGTTTGAATCCTATATTTCTTTTCTTTAAACTTAAATGTAAAAAGTTAAAAAAAGTTAAATTCGAGTTTGAAGATGACACAACTCGTTTAGGAGTTTTTAATGACTTGAAAAATAATATATTGCTTTAAAAACACTAATCATGATCAAGAATTAATATGCATTTCATTTGTTTGTGGCCAAGCTAGATTCTTTGTTAAATGTGTTGGTATAACTTGGTGTTTCTGGTTTTTAAACTATAAAACATTGATAAATAAAAAAAATAAAAGGAAAAAAGTGGCATAAACAAAAATATATACACATAAAGCAAAACTTTTCTGAGTTAATATGGGTGAAAATATTTTCAGAAACTTTTTTTTTGGGGGGGGGAGAGGGAATATTCATCATAAGACTTAATTTCATAAAAAAAAAATGTACCTTTACAAATTATACCTTTGTTTTTTGACAAAAATTGTTTTAGATTTTTTTTACCTAAAATAACTTTTAACTTTTTTTGGCTTTTCCTTTTAAATTTGATTTTTATTGAATTACTTGCAGGATATATTGATATGCATCTGTAATTATGAAAAAGAAAATTTTTATTGCTGTTTCAACTTTTAAATTATTAAGGCATTGCCCTATAAATGAAATTGGGAAAAGTACATGAGAAAGAGTATTATATTTTGAAAGCACAACTAATGGTACTGTATTTTAAAAATACAAATGTTTACTGGGAAAAATGCAACTTTAAGAAATAATTCAGTTTCCAGTTTCAGAAATCATTTATTGTCAAATATCAGTAGCAGGCCATTGACATTTATTACACTTAATAGAAATTCTTAGTGTTTTATTTATTTATTTTTTTTTTAAATTTATTTATCCTCTTTTACCACAAAGTAAATTTTATTTGTGTAGGAGATAATATTCAGGTATTTTTTATTTTATTTGTCTAGGAGATAATGTTCAGGTTATTTTTGTCTAGTTTGGCAGATAATTAAAAATAATCTCTTGTGATAGAAATCATATAAAAATAGAAATACAGTACTCCATACAAAACACTGATATCACTTCTTACATTCTAAAATATGTTTTAGCTCTAGAAACAATCAAAATATGGTGACTAAATAAATTGATTAATCGAGTACTCTAGCATTTTATTTAAGCAAGATTATATTGCATTTTAAATTTCATTTATTGTAAACATTAAATACTTTTTTTATATATGGTAATCATTATTTTAATTGTTAATTTTTGGTTACAGCAGCTGAAGCTCCACTGATGTCCAAAGTGAAGAAAAGCATGGGACTTTATAAGCAGAAATAACACTGTTATTCATCATTCCTCTCTTTTGACAGGGGCGGAATCTTACAGAAGCCAAAGCCAATCCTGGCTGTATCATATGTGTACAAAGTATAAAAACGCACATGTTTTATTTATATAATTTAGTTGATTTTTACTCATTTTATTTTTGAATTTTAAAAAGTTAAGATAAAGATTTTATCTTTATGATGCTTATTGTGTTTATTAACTACTGCAACAATCATTTGTATGCCATTAAGGAGAAGATATTGAAAATTTAAATATGAATATCATCATGCAAAATTAATGCAACAGAATTGGACAAATCAATTTGTTGCAGTTGAGATACTTAAAAAAATTATTGCAAAAAGTCGCTCAATATCAGGAGTCCTTAGTTTTTTAATTCATTCTTAATATCAGCCAAAATTGCAAAAGGTCGTTTATTTCTGTCTGCTTTTTATGACTGCTCTTTTGAATGTAAATTAACATTTTGAATGAAATGGAATTCAAATCACATGATTCATAAAGGAGCCACTGCAGATTAGGCATCCTGAAATGAAAGTTTGGAGATGCCTCATTTGTTGGTTATCCAAGTGTTCGAAACGGGTTTCGTTGATGAGAAAACTACCTGTTTGCATTTAAAAAATGTTTCTTTAGATGTTAATGTTAGAAATTTTTCAACAGTATGAGCAAGAGACGTAAGTAGAATCCAAATCTGAAGCAGGCCACATAATTTACGTGTACTTTTAACTGCCCCAGCTACAGGACTACTAAGAACAGTGCAACTTTTAACAAATTTTCAAAATCTGTTATATTTTGACACAATTTTATTCATGAAATTAATTTTTTATGAATGGCAGCTTTTTTTTTAATGCCTTTACAAAACCTGAAAGTATCATAAACTGACAGTTTGGTGATTCATTGACAAAATGTTTATTTGATTTGCATATTCTTGGTAGACATTTAAGTTATCATTTGAATTCATTTCTATTTCTGATATTCACGATTAACAGTGCAACACCTCAATTTCTGGCCACAAAGACCTACCCCGGCCTAAAAATATATATATTATCTTCCACTGAATGAAGAATTTTTATAGTATTACATCAAAAACAGCTTTTCCCTTTTTTGAATATGAATTTTTAATGATAAATTTGGTTGATTTATCACAGTTTTGACAATCTTAATGTCGGTTTGTCTGCAAAATGTTTAATTTGGAGGTTTTAGAATTTTTAACATAACAACATTGATAAATACTATTAAAATAATCATAATATATTAAAATTACGTATAAGATATATCCTTTAAATAGTTTTTTTTTTTCCTTATCATATCTAAAAGTGTCATTACTTTCCTTTGTGGCCACTTAGGAATGTTTTGATTCTGAAAAATAAAATAGGTTAGAAAAGTATATGCAGTAATTATGTAAAAATAATTTAATTTATCTTCTTTTATTTTTATTTATTTATTATGATGAGAATTTTAGGAATAAAATAAAAAATTTTCAGACAGAACATTTACTGAAATTTACTAGAAAATGTTCCTTTATTTATTTTTAACCAAGCATTTGCTTGAAATTTATGAACACTGAAGAAACAAATTCCAAGAAATTTCATGTGTTGCAGGAGGTTTGTTCGTTATTTCACACAGAATAAGGAAAACATATTTTTCCTTTTCATTTCCCCTTTTAATTTCTTAACATTAAGGAAAAACTACTTTTCCAGACATCATAATCATATAATAGTATGTCATTTGGCATTTTCTTATATAACAGGCAGTGGGTGTAATATAAATATTATTAATAAGTAAGTAATAGTAATATAAATTTTATTAATTTGCAAAAGTCGTACTTTCTATGACATTAATTTGTAATTGAAAGGTTTTTGATTCAATAAATATGTTATTACAAATTCTAATGACATTACTATTCAGTGATGAAACTTGTTTAATTAATTCCCCCTTTTTTTTTGCTTAACGTTTCACAATATTCAGAAATTCATTTTTAGTACTGCAATGTTTCAAGAAATTATCGAACAATTAGCTACCTTCTGCTCTTTGGTTTTCCATGCATTCAGTGTTCTCTCTCTCTTAGTCAATTCTTACTTTGAAAGTCAGTCAGATTTCTCTTAGGCAGCATTCTGCAGCAAAGTATCACAAAAATCTTGTTGCCATTTATTTTTTTATTCTCATTAATAAAACCACAATTGTCAGCTTTCCTGATTTCCTACCATTCATCCACCAACTCGATTTACAAAATATTTCTCCCAACTTTCTCTTATTCTTAAAATTTCTCGTGATTTTAATGTAGCTTGGCTTTTAATACTTCATTTGCACAAGAAGAAATAATTTGAGATGTCCGATTTTTGTTGTTTGACTTCTGAATTAGTATTTGTCTTGCGTGTTATTGTGTCTTAATTATGTCTGAAAACAGTTGGTTGTTTTTTAGATGGGGCCCACAAGTGGCCAAGCGGTAAAGTCGCTGAATATTGGTAGTTCGTTCCAAGGTTCGAATCCCATGAACAGTATGGCTGCATGGACGTTTTTGTGGTTTTCCCCCATGTATAATGTGTATACGAAAGTTTCCTTAGAAAGTCCTCCATTAAGGCGTTCCTTCCCTTTGGCAGACAGCTCTCGAGGCTTTGCTGTAATCGCATAAACCAAACCTTTTCTCTAGATTACATGAAAAAACAAGAGTCATTTCATCAGTGAGAAAGTATGGTGTGCTTCTGATTTGTGAGTGAGAGTACATTCGTCCAAAAACGTTGTGTTCCAGTTCTCCCATGAGCATTGAGCGCCCCTGCGTGTCATCTGGCATATATGAGCTAAGAAAAAAAAGAAAATCAAGCACACAAAAAAATCAAGGATGTTATTTCATTTATTGTGTCACTGTGTGCTTTCGAAAAATAGTTTAAGAAATTATGATCTTTTGTTTTACTTATTTCATCAAAAAAAGTAAAATTCTCATGTACTTTCCAACAATCGTATACAGATGACTTTCTTTCTATTTTCAAGGAAATGTAATACATTTGTGATGTGTACCATTTGTCATTGTGATTTTTTAATTTTGCATGGTGGAAGGGTTAAATGTTATATGTTCTCAAACATATGCGTAGACAAAAACATTAAGACAACAAGTGTTCATTGAAAAAGAAAAAAAAAAAAAAAAATTTCTGTTATAACAGAGGACAAAAAAGTTATTAATACAGAATGCCTGTTTTCTGCCTTTTTACTGGAGCACAACCTGCGACTGAATGCATTGCCTGTAACCTGCAACTTTATTTAAAAAAATTTTTCCAGATGGAGAAATCACTAAGAAATACTCAAGTACAAGGACTAAACTGGCTGCAATATTTGAAGAAATAGGTATGAAAAATAAATCTTCAGTTACTGATTGCATTAAAACAGTTCCATTTCGCCTCTTTATGGATGGAAGCAATAACACAGATTCAAAACTATATCCAATTGCTTATGACCGTAGTCAGTAGTTAATAATTATTTGATAGACCAACAGAGTCAAAAAAGTCAACTACATGGAAAAGAAGCCAAAGGTAGCAATTATAAATGTGATTAATGTTACATGCTTTTTCATTAACAATTTATAGTATATATAACTTGTAAGCTCTAATGAATCAAATAAGCAAACATGTGAAACTTCCTATTGTATGAATTTCACGGGAATGTGAATGAGAGAATTAAAAAGAGAATAAATCCAACTTTAAAGTTATACACACATTTTGAGATGTGGTGTGAGAAAAAAGATTAAAGAAAGGTGGATCAATTATTTTAAAACATGACCCAAACTTTACACAACATTGACCTGTAAAGTTAAATAAATTAACTCATGAAATTAATCTAAAATATCACTGTGTAAAATATTTCCATGCATAATCTTAACAACCTCGCTCCATTACATACACATTTTGTGTTGAGGCATTAGTATGACAATATTAGTTTTTAAAACTAATTTATTCCAGTGAAAGGTTTAAACATTCTGCCTGAGGGTGCTGTCAGACTTCAATCAGTATGCTGATGTAACTGCTAATATTGGAAACAATAATTTAAAATAGGCAATTCATGCTATTTTAAAACTAACATAAAGACAGTTTGCAGAGTGCAAATCATAAAATCAGATCTTATAACATCTTATTGATTGTATTATTGAAATCTTAAAGTTCTTAATTTTAAATATATAAAAATAACAACTTACCTGTTTTCCAAAATAAAAGTCTTAAAATGCCATTTTAAACTGCTGTGCAAATCATTTCCATCCTGCAGTTTCAAAGCTTTTTATAAACTATACAACTTTTATAAGAATAATTAAACTAAACAAGACTATATTGTCATATATGTTAGTCATCATCACTGATGCTACTATCTCAGCAAATGCAATATAAGTAACTGGTGATCTCATCCAATTTCTCAAAGGAGTTATTTTATTAGTGGGATATTCATGTGTGCAATACAGAAAATAAAAAGTATTACACACTTTTAAAGTCCAGTTCTTGTCATAAAATTTTTTAAATCTTATTTTCTTGAAACTTACGATCTTTTTTATCAATAAAATGGTTTCTCGAAAGCTTATTCATTCAAATCCTAATTTGTACGCAGCTTCTATATGAAAAGATAAACATGCCAATGTAAAATTTTATATTGGGCAAAAAAGCGACCTTTATAAAGAATAAACAGTTCATAAAGATCTTTTCATCTTTTTTAAGCATAATTAAACATTTTGATATTTTACAGTGTTTTCAACTATTGAGTTGGTATTTTTGTGTGTGAGAATTTCATGTAAACTTTGTTAATAATCATAAGAGAGCAGCCAAAAAATTTACGAAATATTTTGAACCTTTTTTACAGCTCCAAGCAGTAACAGTTTTTACAGGTGAAGATATGTTAATAAATTTGTATCTCAAATAGTGTAAACATAAACATTGATAAACTGAATGCATCTTCACAATTTTTACTTTTCACATTTTCTAATTAAAAGATACTGCAAGCAACGTAATTTAAGTAAAAAAAGGAACTTTTCTAAAATCAGAAGACTGGAAATAGCTTCATGCCGTCATCCTTTAACAGTAAAAGCTTAGCTAACCGGCATACTCGGAAATTGCCGAATATCTAAAAATTCCGAATAGTCGAGCATAACTGGTAAAAGTGGAAGAGAGAGTAGATTGTAGCCGTTCTTTAGGTTTTTCTTTTATGCATTG